GACAAGATCAGGGCACAGGGTAAGAACTAGAGGCAAGGCCTCACTGGGCAGAAGCAGGTAAATCAATGCAAAACGTTGCTTTTGCCCTTGGAATGGTTTGGATTTCTAATTGCAAATTTGAACGGCGTCCCCTCACCGGTGCTACATAGTGTTGGCACGAGACATCACAGGGATGTCCCTCATTCTTACAGGGAGAAGATTTGGGGGGGCTCAAATCCAAGATTTGCTTTCATAATGAACAGTCCTGTTATTTCTTCTCTTGGTCGGGTGGGGAATAATTGCAACTACCACCAGGCAGATTTGAACCTGGGACTTCAGTGTAGGAACTTCTAGGGCTTGAGCTGTAAAGCCAAGTGGCCCTTAGCTTAGTCTGTAGAGCTCCCTTGTTCTTCTCTCTCTCTGTACACGGTCTAAGACAGGCCCCACAACATGGGACAGCGAACCACACAAGGGCTAGGTCTACACTAGGCTTTTTGTGCGGCAGAGGCAATGCAAATGAAGCACTCATTAGCATTTTCTCGTGCTTCATTTGCATAATCTCGTCCGATGCTTTTTGCGCCAGAGGTTTTTGCGCCAAAACTAGCAGGGTAGACGGGTCCGTTTTGCACAACCCCCCCCCCCTTTTGCGCAAGAGCCTAATGCCTCAAAAAAAGGAGGGGCACAGACTCTTGGGGGGGCAGAGTCTGGGGTGTAGGCTCAACACGGGGGCAGGGCATTGGGGTGCACGAGTGAGGGGTGCTGTGCTTACCTAGGGTAGCTCCCGTGTGGAAACAGCTCCAAAGGGCTGAGGGGTCTCTGCGTGTCCCTGCAGCTCCCGTTGGCCACAGGGGTGCTCGGGATGGGTGCAGCACATGGAGACACCCACCACACACACCCTGAGAGGTGTCAGGAGCGGCACACAGGGTGAGAGCAGGCAGGTAGCCCCTTCAGCTCCGTTGTGCTGCCTCTCGGCCTTTAAAAACTGGCAGGTGCGGCCGGGGAAGAGACCTGGGCCAGGACCGGGCCCCGAGGCCAGGAATATTCTGGGCCCATAACACTTCCCACCCCAGCCAGAGGGAGTGAACAGAACAGGGACTCATCCAGTGATCCCTCTCCTGTCGCCCATTCCTGGCTTCTGGAAAAGAGACTACGGGACCAGAGTCCACTGTAAGCTGGGTGCTTGTGTGGGTGCCCAAGATCGATTCAAGTGCTGCCCAGCTGATTTAGAAGAGTGCCCGCAGCTGATCGCAGCCAGCAGCACGCGTTTCTATTGGTGGTGCACCTCTGCACATGCCTTGGTGCACAGAACAACATTTATCCCGCACATGGATGGAAAAACTTAAGAGGGAACATTGCTAGGGACACTATTCTTCTGGGGTTTTTTTCTTTCCAGATGGGTAGCTCCTTCATGTCTCTCATGCTGCATGTGGGCCGTGTTGACACCACGGGGCACTGCTCCGGGGTGGGGCCTGGTAGTGTGGAGGTTTGAAGACAAAAAATCACACACACATACGCTTTCTCTCTCCCTCTCCCCGTAAACTGAGCACTTGGGTGGCCCACTCTCTCTCTCTCTTCCCTGTAAGCTTGGGCGGCCTCCCCAGGAGGGATTCCAGTGCTGCCCAGCTGATTAGAAGAGCACCCCCAGCCACTTGCGTGAGTTTCTTCTGGTGGTGCACGTGCAAACATCAGAGGAAACACTAATCTCTAGCTTAGGTGGGGAAAGCGCACCTCAAAGTTTCCCTGACAGCCTCTGGCTCTCGCCAAGGCCATCTGTACTCAGAAATCAAGACAGAGGACGCTGGGAGTTTGAGAAACTAAATTCTATTTTATCGTTCCAAAGCAAGAAGCGAAAAGCTCCCCCGTGGCCCTTCCACCCAACACCCAGTCCAGCCCAGCCCTTTGTTCGGCCCGGTTCCTGCAGCAGAGCCAACGTTTCACAGCGGGCACGAAAGGGCAGAGGCTCCGGGAGAGGCCGGGATCTAGTCGCAAAACGAGAGCAGGACACCCGGGAAAAGCAAATTCACAGGAACCAGAGAACGGGGTAAACTGAGAGCTGCGTGAGGGTTTTATCCCCCCGGGATGCACCAGAAGGAGGGCCCCCCCGGTACATCAGGTTGCTCGTCTCTCTCCAGCCATCTTCAAGGCTGATCAGACCTACCACGGCCCCTGCGTGCTTCTCAGCGCCTCGCAGCCTCGTCGTCTCAGGCATCAGGCTGTCATTCTACTCGAAGCATCATTTGTAGCCTTTTAGGACTCAGAGGTGGCTTCATCCCACTGCTCAGAGGGGCTTTTCCTGTCTCGCACCGGCCCCGGTGCAGCGAGTTTAACGGTTCTTGGCAGAGCAAACTTTGCCGGTTCCCGTCTCTCCCGCCTCCCTCCCTCCCTCTCCAAATCCCATGTCACTACAGGTCCTTCTAGAATTCTAGAACTGGAAGGGCCCTCGAGAGGTCATCGAGTCCAGTCCCCTGCCTCCAAGGCAGGACCAAGCGCTGTCTAGACCTGTGGTGTCCAAGCAGTTCTGAAGCAGGAGCCACTATAGCGGTGACTGCTATAGCAAACTAGCCACATTATTCCGAAAATGTACATAATTTTGTGGGCAAACTAGCCACCGTCAACCGGCCAAATAGCCACGTGGCTAGCGTGTTGGACACCATGGGTCTAGACCAAAGATGGGCAAATACCAGGCCATAGGCCGGATCTGGTCTGCCGGGCCCCCACACCACCATATGTACCTGCACTTTTGCAGGTACAGAGGATCGCAGCTCCCATTGACCGAGAACGGCCAATGGGAGCTGCGACCGCCCATACCTGCAGAGGTGCAGGCAGCGACCCTCACTGTCACCCATCAGCGTGTCTGTTGATACTCATTTATAATTTTCATTGTTGAAACAACACTAAGGTCACATGGCAAAGGGCGGGCAAGCAGTAAGAAACACAGGAGAAAGGGTTACTTTGCAAACGGTCAGTTGTCAGAGATAGGTATCCGATAAATCCACTGTACATCCTACCAAGCAAAAGGAATAGCCAAGCATGTGATCCAAGCGCCTTCAGGAAAGAGAGAGACCCAAGCATATGAGGGATGAAAATACAGTTTTGAGCTCCGTTGAAATCCAGGAGGATGTTGCATTTGACTCAAATCCCTGACATCAGATTTGCCTGTGTTCTTTTTAACTACCCCTACTTCATTTTGGGCCTCATTAGTTGTCTTATGTACAAAATTTTAGTACCAGCCTAGTGGGAAAAAAAAATCCACCCGAAATTGGATTGCAAACCTTCAGGAGTTTGCAAGGAAAAATGCCCCGAAGTCGCTTTGCTGGCAGATGGAAAATGGGATTTCAGCTGAGAATTATCACTCTGTGCCCGAGATTCATCTGCATTCCTCTTCCAGGTCTGGGACACTTTCATCTCCTGGCCACATGAGCACAAGCCCTGACATGGAAAAAAAAATGCGCAGGTGATTGACACCCACCAATCAGCTGTTTGATGATGGGCGGGGGGGGGGGGGCGCTGGGGGAGGGGGGGAAACCGTTGGGGGCGGGGCTTTGGGGAAAGGGGCGGAGTGCGGGCGGGGCCATGGGGGAAAGTGGCGTGGGGGACAGAGCATCCGCCTGGAAAAATGACAGCTGGCACCCGTGCTCACGCGTCTGATCTGAGATCCAAGTGCAATTCCTAAGCGTGGAGAGCCAGCACTTTGCGGAGTGGAAGACAGAAATGTGGGGAGGACGAACAATCCGGGAGCTAACAGGATGCTGCTGGGGTGGAGTGTGGGGGATCAATATGATGACAGAGGGAATTTTTCTGACTCAACCCATCACCCTTTCAGTCACACAGGAGGTGAATCAATGCGTTTTTCTGTCCCTGGTCCAGCTATTTTAGAATCTATTTGATTCTGCTTCATAAAATTAAAAAAAGAGTAGAAATCCAAATGGTTTTTGGCCCAAGCAAGGTGACAATTACTTAGAATGACACCAACAGTCCCGACAAGAGGGAACGGGGGACTGTAACTAGCACACTGCTAAAGGGGGTGACGCTATAGGTGAGGATCAGCCAGGAACTCTGGCTGAAGTTTGAACTAGGTCAGAGGGAAACGCGAGTTGAACCTGGACTAGCGTTCCCTGTAAGCTGGGTGCTTATGCGGCCGCTCAGGAGAAATACAAATGCCACCCAGCTGATCAGCAGAGCACCCACAGCTAGATTCTTTGTTTCCACTAGCAGTGCACATCCGCACATGCCTCAGTGCACAAAAATTATTCCACACACGGATGGAAAAGGTTAGAGGGACCCATTTCCTAGTTTCAGAGGCTCATGCTGCCAGGGCCGAGGTGGGAATTCTAACCCATGATCCCAAAATACTAGCTAGCACCAGGCTACAGTCCCATCTGGCTCCCATCTACACGAGCCCCAAACCTTCAGTTTCCTGGTCCCTT